CTCACCCATCAGGTTCTGCCTTTCCTCCTTCTTCCGAGCCTTCTGCTTGGCCTCCAGCCGCACCACGGACAGGGCCGGCCCCACGGTGGGGCTGGGCAGGGCGCTGGCTGCGAAGCGGGCCAGTAGGCCCAGCCCGCTCTCCTCTAGGCCTGGTGACAGGGCCCGCTCCCGGGGCCCTAGCCTATAATAGGCACCAGCCTCGTCCTCCTCTTCCTCCTCCTCGAGCTCCGGGTCCTGCTCCTCCTCCTCCTCCTCCTCGGAGCTCTCATCTGGTGCAGAAAACAGGGACCAAGTCAGAGTCAGGTCCTTGGCGCACGGCGCCACCCACCACCACCCAGGTCAGCACGGCCACCCGGCATGGCATCAACATGGGGGGTGGGGGGCCACGGCGCCCAGCTCCTCCCCAGGGGCAGCTGGGGAGTGGCCCAGCTGGGCAGCATCTCCCCACCCCCCACCCCCGTGTCCCCTCCATCCCATCACATAGCGCCCAGAGACGGCAGCGGCTGTGGGTATCCTAGTGGCCTTCTGTCAGGGGGATCCCGACCTGCACCTCTGCTGGGGCGGGGACAGACACACGGACAAGGACTGGAGACAGCTTCCTCCACGGTCTCACACGCACACACGCGCCCCGACACACAACACAAAGGCTGAGAAGGAGGTAGGAGAGGAGGAGAGAGGAGGCAGAGGGATGGGGGAGGAGGGGTAGTGGGAGGGGCCCTCAGGGTGCAGCTGGGGGTGCCGGGTATGGGTGCACTTGAAGGAGCTGGAGCCCCAGAGGCAGGTGGCAGGAGAAGGTGGAGTTGGTCTCTTCTGGGGGTGGGGGTGAGGGGGCAAGTGGCAAAACCCGTGGTTCCCAGCAGCATGCCCAGACGAGGAGAGCCTAACTAAGCCACTGCCCCCCAGTCCCCCTAAGAACCCACCGCCCTGAGTCTATTCCAACTCATTCACAGCCCACTGAGGGGCCAGAGGAGCACTTTGTCTGCAAAGACCACCAATCTTTACAGGGGCAGATCGGCTGCCTCATCTCTCTGCTGAGCGGCGGACCTTGCAGTTAGCAGTACCACCAGGCTGCCTTACACAGCTACGGGGAGGGCTCAGAGCAGCCCGTGTGCCGCAGACTCCATGGGGATCACAAAGAAAAGGGGCCACTAAAAAGCCCTGTGCTCTCCCCACTACCAGACGAGCTGCAGGTCAGGCTGGCTGTCCTGCTTGTCCAGCACCCCCGCCCTCAAAAAAAAACCACTGCCTTTTCATTAATTCTGGCTCGCCGTGACCCCAGGTGTCACAGGGCAGACCTGTGCTCCATGACATTGCCCTGGTGGTCATCTTATTGGTCGTCAGCCAGGCCTTTATTTTGTGGCACTACTAGGTGGTTCGAACCACCAGCATTTAGGAGCGCACCACTTGGGGACCTAGCTGACTCACCATGAGCCAATGGAGCAGAGCAGACCTGCCCTGGGGTGGTTTCTGAAGCTGTGAGCTCTTTACAGAAGCAAACTGCCTCCTCCCCCCCAGCAACAGGTGGGTTTGAACTATTGCCTTTTTTGGTTCGCAGCCCAGTACGTACTGCCCCCAGTGCAACCAGAGCTCCTCGGCTAAGCCACACACCCCAAAACCCACTGCCATCGAGTCGATGCCGACTCGCAACAACGGGACAGGGCGGAACTGCCCCCATGGGTTTCCGAAGCTGCACTTCTTTACAGGAGCAGACAGCCTTGTCTCTCTCCCTCAGACGGGCTGACAGGGCTCCAACTCACTAGCAACAAGGTCCCTGCTTACACATCCCTCTCCAGCCTCGAGGTGATGCTAGCTCGCAGCAGCCCTGGGGCAGAGTAGAGCTGAGCTCTGCAGGAACAGCAAGCCCCATCTTTCTCCTGAGGAGTGGTTTCGAACTGCTGACCTTGTGGTTTGCAGCCCAACACATAACCACTGGGTTACGTGGGCGCACATGTGTGTGCATGTGCATGCGACGGGGGCTGATCCTTCTTCCTTCACTAGATTGTACTTACTCACAGCTAAAGGAGAAAATAATGATCCCTCCCTAAAAAGCTTTCACAAAAAATAAGAAGGGGCCCGAGTGCTAAGTGTACACAGTCACCCCACTTTCTTCTGGGGATCCCATCTGTCTCAATCTGGTGAGCTATGGAGGGGCAGGCTTCTCCTTGGCCTTGGGGACCTAACTCCATGAACCTAGTGGGGGGGCGGGGGGAGCTTTCTACTGAGAAGCCAAACCCATCGTCAAAACTAAGCAGCTGTTTTGGGCAGCAGTGCAATTCTGAGCTGATGCAGGCAGGTGGCCTCAGGATACCTCTGAGAGGCCAAGGCAGCGTTGTCTGTTCCAGGTGGCCTGAGTAGGGACACTGCTGGGGGGGGAGGGGGGGGGGCCGCAAGGACCCAGCCCACTGGACTCAGGAGGGTCCAAGTCCACATTCTCCTGCTGCCTGTGAGGACACCCGTGAGGGCAGGGTCCTGTGGGTGTGCCCAGCTCCCGAGGAAGCCAGGGTCCCTGCTGTGATGAAGCTGGGTTACAATTGGGGGAGGGTGATAGAGGGGAAGAGGCGTAGGGAGGGGGTCTGTTAGGAGGAGCACGAAGCAGGAAGGGGCAAGGTCCCCGAGCAATGGATGGCACAGGATGGGGAGGCCAGCAGGCAGGCAGACAGTGCACACGTGCGATCCGGTCACATGGCGACGTCACTGGTTCGTCTCCGGCCAGCGGGCCACAGCAGCAAAGCAGGCTAGGTGTGGGCAGACTCCCCACAGCACCTGGATAGCCCCCCACCACCACCCCGCCACCATTCCCCCAGGGCCTGGCCAATTGAGGAAGGGGTAAGGACTGGCTGGGGTGGAGTAGGAGCTGGACCTGTGGTCCCAGAGTTACCCTGCTTACCCGGCTGCTCAGGGGTGGAGACGCCAGCCTCTAGGAATCGTGGGGGAGGGGAGGGAAAAGGCTGGCTCCGGCCCCAGAACATTCAAATATGGGCAAGGTTCTGAGACTTGGGCAGGGGGGACGCCCCATCCCAGCACCTCCAGACGGGAGGTAAAAGCCAAAAAAGGGAAGTGATTTCCGCAAAGTGGAGGAGCAACAAGCTCCCCCAGGCGGCTTCTGGGCCGGAGCCAGTGTCTGCAGGAGCAGAGAGAGAGGCTGCCGGGTCGCAGAATCACCCGGGGGCTGGAGTTAGCCCGGGGCTGGCAAAAAGCATGGGCCCAGCACCCACACAGGGAAAGGCGGGGAAGGGATGGTGCTTTGGTTGTGTCTGTTCTTGGTGGGGGCCAGTTTCTGAATCTTGGAGGCCCCCAAGATTGTGGGCTTGGCTGTTGGGACATCGGTTTGGGTTCTCCCCAGGCCTAAGGAACTCCACAGTGACCTCCTGCTGCCATACCCAGTGGGGCGCACCCCGAGGAGGGGAGGTGGAGAGGGGACAGAAAGAGAGAAGGGTTTTGCCTACCTACGGGAGCAGCGAGCCGGGCTGGGGCTCAAACTCGGGGCCCTGCTGCGCTGTCTGCCTACTCCCAGCCTCCACTTTGCGTCCAGAGTGCAGCGTGAGAGCAAATGCAAGAGACCGAAACAGACATTCAAAGCATCATGGGTAGGGGTCAAGGGTGAAGGGATGGGCAAGCTGCTGGGGAGAAGCAGACACACTCAAAGGGTTTTAGTACTGGGTGGTCAGTGAGGCCCTATTACCCAAATATCCCTTTGCAAGGCAGGACCAGAGGTCTGTTTGTAGCAGGAGGGAAGGGGGGCAATGTAGGGGGCAACCAAGTCAGCGTCTCGAGCCAGGGGGCCTCATCCTCGTCCCCCCTCCCCAATCCCTCCTCCCTCTGTTCCTGGATCTAGGCTCCCAGGTGGACAGGGGCCCTGTGTCCTGGTGGGGAGCTCTCAACTCCCTCTACCACTTTTTCCTAACACTGGGAGGGAGGTTGGGGCTGGAGAGAGCAGGGAACATTGACTTCAAAGTTGGGATAGCTGCACTTCAGCAGAAGGGCATAAAATGGGGGCTTAATCCCAGGCTTTAGGGGGTGAGGGGACAAGGGAAAATGGGTACGCTTGGAACCCGAACAAAGTTGGGAGGAAGGTTGGCAACCTAGAGCGCTTGGCCCCTGGCATCCCAGCAAGCAGGCTGGCAGACGTGAAGCCACGGCGTCTGGCAGTGCTGGGCATTTCTTGGTCACCTGCGTGGGTCTCCACCAGTTTGAGGGGAGGTGTGGGAAGGGAGCCCAGGCCTAGGAGACAAGGCTGGAAAACAGGGCCAAGCCATGCCAGGGAGCCCAAGGGCATGTGGCCCAAGCGAATTTGCATCCAGGTGTGTCAGGAGCCCCCACCCCCCATCCAGAACCTGGGTCAGTTTGGCTCTGGGGAGTCCCCTGGGTCCTGCTGGGGCCCTGCCCTGAAACATACCCTACGACCGAGGGTGACCTGCTTCCCAGGAGTCATGTGCTCCCCCTCGTTGGGACCCCCAAATTCCATTTCTGGTATTAGAAGGCAGAGCCAGGAGGGCCTCAGGGCTCCCCAAGGTCAGCCCTCTCTCTCTCTCTTTTTTAATAAGGGATGCAACGGAGGCCCCCTGGCTGAGGCGGATTTGCGGAGGACCAGTCCGGCCCTCTCCCCAAAGTCCACCCCGTGGCCCCTCAGCACGGCTGGGAAGCCAGCGCCTTCTCACCTAACCAAACACGGGGGACATGTCCAACTGTCCTGCCCCTGCCCTGCCCTGCACCCCTCCCTTGGAATAGAAACACACAAGTGTTGGTGGATCAGTCGTTCTAACCGGTGCTGGGGAGACGAGGTCAGCGCTGACAAAACTAAAAAGACAAGTACAAACAGCTCCAGGGATTAAAAAAAATAAATTTCAAAAAGAGGCAAAAAGCAAAGGATGATGTTGGAGGTGAAAGCGGTTGCCTTTCATCCTGCAAGATGAGATGGATGGCGACAGCTACCAGGGATATTTGAATAATAGAGCAAGCGGGAGGCTGCGTTAATCCCACCACTACTCCTTGGGGGTGGGGGGGGAGAGGAAGGGGGGGCTGGGGGAGGGGGAGGGGGAGGAACAAAATGAAGGGTAAGCATCAACCTAATTGTCTAGTAAAAGACACGGCAAGAGAGACAAGGCACACGGGTTTAGTTAAAAATGAACTCGATATGTTTAATAAAGCTCAGCATTACCAAAAATCGCGGTACAGACATCAAGTCACACGCCCACACGACAGAATTCTTTACAAAATGTTCCTCGGGAACCTCCAACCGGGCCGCCCGTGCCAAAAGAGCACCCAACCCAAGCCTGTGGTCCAGGTGGCAAAAGGCAGGAAAGAAAGGGCTTGGAGAGGTGGGGTGGGGGCGGGACGGGAGGGCAGAGGGGAGGGCGAGTGGAGAAAGGTGGAGACTAGGAACGGGTCGGTGTAAAAGCTCCAAGAGAGCTGGCCAGGGATATCGTCACAATGATATAAGTACAAATCAAAAGCAAACAAAAAAGAAAAAATAATAGTAATAATTAGGTGGATAAGGCAGGCTACGCTGCCAAGAACCAAGATGGCCGCCCTTCCTGTGGCCATCCAAGATGGACGACCTCAGCGGCTGCCATCTCTCATGTGGGCATGCTCTCTCCATCTCTCACTCACCTGCTCGCGCTCTCACTCGCTCGCGCTCTCTCACATGCTCTCTCTCTCTCTCTCACTATAAAACACGGAGGGTGTGGTGTGTTCTGCGCTAGTAACCTTGGTCCATCGAGTCCTCGGACGAGTCACTGGAGGAGGAGCGCACATCGGCCTCTCGAAGCAGCAAACAAAACGGCTGCTTCCTGGTGGCGGCCGGCTTGGGTTTCAGAGTGCGGGCAGCCACCAGACCCCGCTTGGTGAGCTTGGGGCCTCCGGCTGACTTGCTGTTCTTGGCCACCATGCCACACAGAAGGGAGGATGTCAGTTTGGAGCTGGAGGGGCCTTGGGCTGACCACTCGTCCTTCAGGAAATGCTCGTCCTCAGAGTCGGTATCTGTGGTCAAAGCAGTGTGTAACAGAGGTGAGTCACAGACACTGGGGCGGGCGGGGGCTGAGGGTCTTTGACTTTATTGTTGTTCGTGGTTTGGGGACTATACTGGTGCCGGCCAGAGTGGAGAGGTTCAGGTGCCTGGTGGCCGAGGGCAAAGGCTTGGCTGGTCCACCGGCCCTGCTCCCTAGCTGGGGTCGCCTGCCTTCCCCTGCGGAGGCCTGCAAGTCACAGGCCGCACGACGCTGCTCTGTGTCCTGTGCTTGGAGCTGGCCCTGTTCCACCCTGGATGTTGCCAGCCTAATCCCCCCAAGCAAACACCAGCGGAGAGGCAGTCACTGCTGGTCCCCTCTAATCCCCAGGATTATGCCCAGCCCATGGGCACCTTTTGGGGAAGGACATAACCCAGTAGGAAAAGAACTCAACATAGCTCTTCTCCCCCAAATAAGGCACCCAGTGGCAAGCTGGTGCTGCCTCACTCAGACTCCTTGGTCAATGGGGGCTCCTTGCTAGCTTGACAATGGCTGTGGTGAGAGCATTTACCCCCAGGCAAGTGGTAGAGGATTACAAACCAGGGAAGTCTTCTCCAAGCAGCTCTTCAGCTGCTGGCTTCCCTGACCCTTAACTCTTGGGCCTAACTACATGGCCGAGGCCCCAAGTTTTCAAGCTTTCCTTCCAGAAAGCCAAGCGGCTTTGGGGAGGGCCAACCCCACCCCCTACACACTCACATCGCTGTGTTCTACACGCTGGGTAGACAGAGAAGCCTGCACTGGAACAAAGGGCT